TTAATTATTTTATTAACTTTAAGATTAATTCTTGAAATTTAAGAATTACAGATAGATAGAATCTAATATTTGAAAGATTATAAATAGTATGCAAATTTTTAATAAATTCAACAAAGAATAAGTGCTTAATAAGAGTAAATGGTAAGTTGCAACTTGCAATATACAAACATTTTTGCCAATGCTCTATTAATTTGATCTTCTTTAGTTAATGAAATAGAGAAATTCTCATAATGGTTATCAATATAAGTTTGTAATTTATCATTTATTTTTCATTTTTTATTAAATTTAGAAGTTGATAATGTAGCAGTAATATCATTATTTAAATTCTCATATTAACTTGTTAATATTAAATTTAAAATATTGATTTTAGTATTAGAATCAACTTTATTACATTTATATACAAGATGTTTTTTAAGTTTTACTACTACTTTGGCAGTGGTCTAATTGTATTCACAGAAAGAACATGTTGCAGAATAATATTCTTTAGAATTAAGTATTAAATCTACCTTTATGAATCACTTCTATATTTGCTAGTAAAACGTCTACCTACTTCTTTGACATTATAAACTTTTAGGAAAAATATGCAGAAATAAAAAAATTTTTTTATAAAAAACTTAGATTTAGATTATATTAGATAATTTAGATATTTAAATTTCCTTCTTTTATTTTAAGATTTCAGTCTTATATAGAAGTTTCAGATATAGTTTTAAATTTTGTTAAAAGTTTCAGATTTTAACTGAGATTTTAGTTTCAAAAAAAAGGTTTTAAAATCCAAAACTGGCCAAAATCTGAAACTGAAATTTGATCAAAACTAGGAAAGTTTTAGATACATGTATAATTTATAATATGTAATTAATTTACATATTTTTTTATTTTGAATAATTTTAGGTTTATCTGAATAAACTCTATTTACTTACTTTTTACAATTACAAATTGCAAAACATTTAAAATTATTTACATTTTTTACATTATTTTAGATTTCAGTTCACCAGAAATTATTTTATAGAAATTCTTTTAATAAAGCTACCTATACTCCTTCATTTTATAGTTTTAAAGTCATTTTATTGAGATTAATCAAAATGGTAACTGTAATGTATTTCTTCTATATCTTAATTTTTATTATAAAAGGCATATCAGAAATCAGCTGATTTCTCTTAATTAGTAGTTTTAACTCTCCACCCAACTACCCTAGTGTTTTTAAGAAAAAAAGCATTTAGTGGCTGGCATTATATAGAATTATGTATTGTTATATGAGTAGTGCAATAACAAATAATAAGTAATGAATAAAGTTTTTACCCATTTGAAAAAAATTAAGTCTCTAAATTCTCAAATAAATATAAACAATGAAAACATTAGGGGATGTGATGGATGTGATAATTTTTACATGATTATATATCAAGTGCTTTTTTCTTGGAAATGCTAGGAATAATTCCTCACAGGATCCCGCCTACTATTAAGATAGGTCCCCTGTAGCCTAAGGTAAGGTTTACATATAAAACTCTTTAAAGATTCTACTATAAAAAGAAATTTTATATTACATTGTTATGATTTTTTTCCTTTTTAGTTAATTAATCAATAGAATTTAAGCAAATCCTAAGATAAGGTTTTATATGAAAGTAAAATTTCTACTGGTAACATATTTTTATAGTAGTGGTGGGGTCCTTTCCTCATCCACCTGATTGAAATCTGATTGGCTAAAAAAATTATTATTATTAAATATTAAATATTATATATAATAATTAGTATTATATAATTATCTTAGCTTCTAATAATTAAATTTGAACAAACTTTTTTTTGTTTTGTAAAACTAGATTTTTAAAGCTAAATGAGAGTTATAAATTAAAAAAAGTTTATTAAAATGGATCATTAGAAGTCAAGATAATTGCATTATAGTAATTATATATAAAAATAATTAAATTACTTATATTTATATTTAGATATATAAATGTCATGTGATATATATAAATCTGATTTGAAGCTTGACCCTCTTTCAAATTAGCTGATTTCTGGAATACTCTTAAATTATGTGATTTCAAGTTTTTAAGTAATTAAAAATTTTAAATTAAGATTAGGTAAAGAGAATTTTATAAACAGTTTTGACAGGATTCAGCTGAAATCTTATCACAAGAAATAATATTGGCATAAGGTTGTTTACTAAAATTAAGTAATTTAGACTAAAGCTGAAACTTTTTTGTAGCTAAAAGTTTAGGCAATCAAAAATAAATTTACTAAAATTTATAATACTGAAATTATTACCAAAAATCTAAAATTTAACCAAAATTATTGATATTTTTAAAATGTAATTCTGATCAGAAAAATAATTAACATTTAAAATTCCTTTTTTAAAAATTTGTATAATTATTATATGACTGATTTCTTTAATTTTAAGGAAATTGGTATAATATTATGTGACATTATATCATAATTTTGGCTAAATTTTAATTTTGGCCAAAATTAAGGCTGAGTTTCAGCTTAATTTCAGAATTGATTTTAATTAACTAAAATCTTTTTAGAATTTTATTTCCTTTTTAATGTTTTGAATGAGTTGAGTCAGGTCAGATAATTTGTTTTATCTGATTTGAAAAAAAAATCAGGTCAGATTAGATTGGATAACTTGTCTTATCCAATCTAATCCATTTGACCTATTTAACCTGACATAATATTTTAAGTCAGATAGGTCAATTGGTTAAATATGTAAAAAAATGCTGAAAATTTTTTTGCATTACTATTAAGAAAAAAATGTTTCAGTATTTTTTCATATAATAAATTAAAAAAAATGGCAAAAACATTTTTTTTTTGCATTATTATTAAGAAAAAAGCATTTTAGCATTTTTTTAAGCTGTTGAAAATAAATGTGGCAAAGAAATTTTTATGGAAAAAAAAAAAAAAATTCTTATAAACTTCAAATATTAAAAAATAGGTTAATAAAAATTAATAATTATATTACTTCATAGTTCATACCTTTATACTACCTGTCAAATTTACTTAAAAAAGAGGGAAAGAAAAGAGGAAGAAAGAAGTGTATAGTTTGTTTTGACCCGTTTTTTTATATTAAAACATTTAATGTTCGCAACGTTTTTTATTAATAACTAGTGTTCACCCGTTAACGGTTAATAATGTATTAAAATGGCATAATTCCGGCCAGAATTAAAAGATCTGCAAAGAATTTCCTTTTTTGGAAATTTTGAGCAACACAATTTTTTTAATTTATCTGAAAAGTAACAGAAGATAAAATCTCCTTTTTTGGAAATTAGCGTAACTGCCAATTCTCTTTTATGGAATTACGTGTAACCCAAAATTCAGTTTTTCGCCAGAAATAAAAATTCCCTTTTTTGGCCTTGTGTAACATTTGCGACGAATAGGAGTAGGGTTACACAATTCAAATGACTTATTTATATGGTTAATCTAAACATAACGCCCACGTGATTGCAGTGTTTTTTAATAGATAGAATAGAAGATAGATAGATAGATAGATAGATAATATAAAAAAATGTTGCGGAACGCTTTTTTATATTAACAATGTTTTTATCAATAATACAGTACAAATGTATTAAATGTATTGATTGTTCTTGACCCGTCACGCGGTATTGACTTGACTTGCATAATATATTTTACCGATACTTTTGCATCAACATTTTGAAAAACAGCAATTTAGTAATTTTGGAAGTTTTTTTTTTTCTAAAAATATTTTGTAAATAAGTCGATTCAGACGCCAGGAATTATAAACATAATTTGACCAGCATTTGAAGAGATTCTTTATGTAAAATTAAAATAATTTTGCTCTTATTGACCGCTTAATATTAAACTCTTCTAATTTGGTAATTTTTAATATAGATATTTTAGACACGTAAATCCCTGTCTCTTATACACATCTAGATGTGTATAAGAGACAGCCTTTATACTACCTGTCAAATTTACTTAAAAAAGAGGGAAAGAAAAGAGGAAGAAAGAAGTGTATAGTTTGTTTTGACCCGTTTTTTTATATTAAAACATTTAATGTTCGCAACGTTTTTTATTAATAACTAGTGTTCACCCGTTAACGGTTAATAATGTATTAAAATGGCATAATTCCGGCCAGAATTAAAAGATCTGCAAAGAATTTCCTTTTTTGGAAATTTTGAGCAACACAATTTTTTTAATTTATCTGAAAAGTAACAGAAGATAAAATCTCCTTTTTTGGAAATTAGCGTAACTGCCAATTTCCTTTTATGGAATTACGTGTAACCCAAAATTCAGTTTTTCGCCAGAAATAAAAATTCCCTTTTTTGGCCTTGTGTAACATTTGCGACGAATAGGAGTAGGGTTACACAATTCAAATGACTTATTTATATGGTTAATCTAAACATAACGCCCACGTGATTGCAGTGTTTTTTAATAGATAGAATAGAAGATAGATAGATAGATAGATAGATAATATAAAAAAATGTTGCGGAACGCTTTTTTATATTAACAATGTTTTTATCAATAATACAGTACAAATGTATTAAATGTATTGATTGTTCTTGACCCGTCACGCGGTATTGACTTGACTTGCATAATATATTTTACCGATACTTTTGCATCAACATTTTGAAAAACAGCAATTTAGTAATTTTGGAAGTTTTTTTTTTTCTAAAAATATTTTGTAAATAAGTCGATTCAGACGCCAGGAATTATAAACATAATTTGACCAGCATTTGAAGAGATTCTTTATGTAAAATTAAAATAATTTTGCTCTTATTGACCGCTTAATATTAAACTCTTCTAATTTGGTAATTTTTAATATAGATATTTTAGACACGTAAATCCATAATGTTTATTTATGTTTCACAAATTATGTTAACCTACATTCAGATTTAGAACAACCTACCTTAGGATAAGGATGCTCAAAAATTTAGTCGCGTCTTTTATTTCAATTATATTCCAAATTTCAGTGTTTTATTTAGAAACATAACATTCGCGTCTTTTATTTTCAATTATACTATAATTCCAAATTTCAGTGTTTTATTTAGAAACATAACATGTTTGTCTTCAAGAGAGGTTTGTTTAATAATTTTCTTACTAGACAGGCAATAATTTACAACTTTTTTTAACAAAAAAAACTCCTCTTTAATTAATAGATGGTCGTAAAGAACGCGTTGCTTTTGATAAAGTGATTAGTTGACTTTACTTTTAAAGTGTTTTATTTTTTTAAGAGTTTTTAACTTAAAGAATTGCTTTCGCTATTTCCAATTTAGATTACTGCGCGTATTAACAAATTATGTTATGGCCTTGATTTAAACTTTGTTGATCCAGTAGCTGTCACTCAAAAGGTTTGTAAGTCAATAAAAGCTAATTTTTATTGACATTCTTATATCAAAATTTGATAATTGTCACGTTTATGTATTTCAAGGTCATTTCAGGAGTTTATCAAGGTGTTAGCACTGTTGAATTAGATAATTTGGCTGCAGAAACGGCCGCGTATATGACGACTAAACATCCGGACTATGCCGTCCTTGCTGCTCGTATTGCTGTTTCTAATCTTCATAAAGAAACTAAAAAAGTTTTTTCCAATGTTGTTGAAGATCTTTATAATTATATAAATCCGAAAACAGGGAAACGCGCGTCAATGATTTCTGAAAAAACTTATAATATTGTGATGAACAATTCGGAAAAACTTAATTCTACGATCATTTATGATAGAGATTATAAATATAATTATTTTGGATTTAAAACTCTTGAAAGATCTTATCTTTTACGAATAGGTGGAAAAGTTGCCGAGCGTCCCCAACATATGCTTATGCGCGTAGCGGTTGGGATTCACGGAGATGATATCGAAGCTGCTATTGAAACTTACAATCTGATGTCAGAAAAGTTCTTTACTCACGCATCTCCGACTTTGTTTAATGCTGGCACACCTAGACCTCAACTTTCGAGTTGTTTTCTTTTAACTATGAAAGATGATTCAATAGAGGGAATCTATGATACTTTGAAAACATGCGCAATGATTTCTAAGACTGCAGGTGGTATTGGTGTGAACATTCATAACATTCGTGCGACAGGATCTTATATTGCTGGAACAAATGGTTATTCAAATGGAATTATTCCTATGTTACGCGTTTATAATAATACTGCTAGATATGTTGATCAAGGAGGAAACAAACGTCCGGGCGCGTTTGCTATTTATTTAGAAACGTGGCATCCTGACATTTTTGATTTTATGGATTTAAAAAAAAATACTGGAAAAGAAGAAGTTCGTGCACGGGATTTATTTTATGCACTTTGGGTTTCGGATCTTTTTATGAAAAGGGTTGAATCAAATGATAATTGGAGTTTATTTGATCCGGCTGAAGCTCCTGGTTTAATGGATGTTTGGGGTGATGAATTTGAAGTTAGTATGATCGTAATAAACATGCAATTTAATAAAGTAAATATATAATTATACCTTGATATTTTATTTAGAAATTATATGAATCATATGAGCGTCAAGGACTTGCGCGAAAGGTCGTTAAAGCTCAGAAAGTCTGGACAGCAATTCTTGAATCCCAGATCGAAACGGGTACACCATATATGCTCTACAAAGATTCTTGTAATCGTAAATCTAATCAACAAAATCTTGGTACAATCAAATGTAGTAATTTGTGTACAGAGATTGTTGAATATTCGAGCCCGGATGAAGTTGCTGTATGTAACTTGGCTAGTATAGCATTGCCCATGTTTGTTGAAAATAAAACTTCGTATGATTTCAAGCGTTTACACGAGGTATAGTTATTATTATTTAAAATATTTGCGTATTATTACTATTATTAAAAAAAGTGATCTTAATCGTATTTAGGTTACAAAGGTAATAACTCGCAATCTTAATAAAATAATCGATATAAATTATTATCCCGTTGAAGAAGCCCGCAGATCCAATTTCCGTCATCGCCCAATTGGTATCGGTGTTCAAGGTGCCATATTTTCGTAATACATAATCTTACAGTTTTTTTTTTGTTCTAACAAGGATTTTTTTTAAAAAAAAGGATTGGCAGATACTTTCCTTGCTATGCGTATTCAATTTGATTCTTTACGCGCAAAGGAACTGAATAAGCAAATATTTGAGACAATGTATCATGGTGCATTAGAAGCATCATGTGAACTATCACAAAAATTCGGCCCGTATGAGTCGTATCAAGGATCACCGGTTTCCAAAGGCATTTTACAATACGATATGTGGAATGTTGAGCCTACTGATTTATGGGATTGGAATTTGTTGAAACAAAAAATATCAGAACATGGTGTACGAAATTCATTATTGCTCGCACCAATGCCTACTGCATCTACTTCCCAAATATTGGGCTTTAATGAATGTTTTGAACCTTATACGAGCAACATTTACCAACGACGTGTTCTCGCTGGCGAATTTCAAATTGTTAACCCTTGGTTATTGAAAGATTTGGTAGATTTGGGTCTGTGGAACGATCAAATGAAAAATAAGATAATTGCAGACAATGGAAGCGTTCAGAAAGGTAAATTATAAAATTGTATAAGATTGTAATTTTATTTATCTATACTTTCATATTTATAATTGCATAATTATACTAGTTAACGGAATTCCTGACGAACTCAAAGCATTATATAAAACTACATGGGAAATATCGCAAAAAGTTATTATTGATATGGCGGCCGATCGTGGTGCTTTTATTGATCAATCTCAAAGTCTTAATATTCATATTGCGGAACCGACTAAAGCAAAGTTAACTAGTATGCATTTGTAAGTATTCTCATTTTATATGATCATTCACTCGTATATAAAATTAAATTTTTTTATTCGTTAAGTTATGGATGGAAGAATGGGCTGAAAACAGGCATGTATTATCTAAGAACAAAGCCCGCTGCGGATGCCATCAAAGTAAGTGATTAATTATTAAAGTGAATCTTTTATTGGTGCTTATAAGTTACTAATTTTATTGACATTTTTGATTAAGTTTACTGTTGACCAATTGTCCTTAAAAGAAATTGAAACAACTGAACCTTCTGATAATTCTCGAAATAAAAATTCGACTTCCGACGCTGCTATTGCATGTTCAATCGAGAATAAAGAAAATTGTCTTATGTGTAGTGGTTAAAAAAAAAAAGGAAAGATTGGAAAGATTTAAATCTTTGTAATAAAAGTTATCATCAAGATTAATTTTATATAAATATATTATAATCTATATTAACCGCGATATTTTGCTGACTATTTATTCATTCGATGAAAAGTTTATCCAAATTTCGACTTGAGATCTAATAGTCCAAGTGCATATTCCACATACTTATCCAAGTGATAATTATCAATATAATGTTTCAAATCATCATTCTCTTTTAAGTAATCTTCTATTAAACTTTTTATTTGTTCTTCACTTAAAAGAGGAAACCATTTATGGAATTGTTCTATCGTGCTTGAGAAAAACGCTTCAGCAGGTGGATAAAACCACTGATTTAATGGAATGCCTAACAAATATAAAATTGGATAATTAATTAAAAATACTTAACAACAGTATGAAAAGTAGACATACCAGTAACTGAGCGATTCACAATTTCTAATGCGACATAAACAAAAGTACTTTTAATGTGCTTGTTCAATTCTTCATCAGATATATTACTGGTATCTAATAAAATCTCCCAGCTTGCGGTAATTTAAATATGTTAAAAGAATAGAAATAAGATGAAATTAAATGATAAAAATTGTTCATACTTGTCATTAAGATAAATCCTTCGCCATATAGTTTGCAATATTGTACGACGATGATCTTCAGATATCTGCAATTAAAAAAGTGAAATAAAATAGGTTCATAAAAAGTCAAATTGCGAAATAAGATCAATGTTAACGTGAAATAAGTTTTATTGACCTTATTATCGTTTAGAGTAAACTGAAGCGCGAAAGGAAAAGCATTCTCCATTTTTTTATCTGCAAGTGTCATAACTTCAACCAATTCACTTGTTGGAATTATTTCGCCATCTAAAATTTTAATTACTTGCTTTTCGTAAATCTGAAACAATAAATTGTTCTGATAAATAATTGAAGTTTATATGTAATTAATGGAAAAAAATGTATCAGTAACCTGTGACAAAGCTGGTTTATGATGCTTCCAGCTACCCGCAGTTCCTTCCATAATCGCGTTTACTTGTTTAGGTTTTGTATCATGATATTGTCTTTGTGAAGTAAGAAAACTAACAAATTCCTCTTGCAGGTCAGAATAAGCTTTTAAGAGCTCAAATCCATTATCGATTTCTAACAAAAATATAAAATGTATTAGTACATAATTATATTAATATTAACATTTATGGGATAAACACATTACCATCCAAATTCCTTTGTACATCTTCATTTTTCAAGTCAATTTCATCACCAAGTTCAGCCAAAAAAGATAGTTTGCTCATACTTAGAAAGGTCTAAAAAAGCAAAGTAAAAAAGTAAAAAAGGAAAAGAAAAATATATATATATAATTACGTCATTTAATCGAATAACTTTGTCATTTATAAAGCTTTTTACCTTATTTCGATTTACACGAGATTGGTTTCTTGCTAAATGACGCAACTTAATAGAAGCCTCACCATACCGATTTAAATATATATCATGCATCCACGAAATACCGTTCAAATTACGCTCATTCAAGAACTTTTGAAGACTGTCTTTATATTCATATGCATGGGACTGACTTAATAAATCAGCGTATAATTCTATCATTATAATTTTATAAAGTTAACCAAAATTTCGATAAATATTGATAAATGATTTTACCAACCTTTTTCGACATACCACTCATATAATGGATATTCAAAATTTTCTTGATATTTATTCACATATTTTTTTATGTAATAATCTATATTTTGACCATGAGACATGATTAAATCCACTAATATTTTATATTCTTCATAAGTTTCGCTAAGGACAAAAGCATCGTCACTTTTTCCGACTCGAACTAAATAATGATAAAGTTATTTCATATATATATTAATCAAATGAAACATATGAATACCTACCAAGCTTTTTTAAAATAGTTGTCCATTCATTACGATATATTTGTGCATCTTCCCTTGTCATTGAATCATCACTTTTAAAAGTATTAAGAAATGGGATTATCAGGATCATTTTGTTAGCTTCGCACCTAAATTAACTTACCAATTTAAACGTTCAGAGGTAGCTCCAAGCAAAATATCAGCTAATTTAACTAATTGGTCTTTTAAAGAGTCAATTTTTTCACCGTCATTTTGAATATCCGAATCTTGAATAATATCGCTAGTCTTTTCGAATTGCTGATAAAGTACTTTCAGAAGTTCAGGATGAACTATCCCATATAAGTCAAAGAATTATTAGAGTATAATATTAATAAGCCTTGAACAATGAATAAAGAAATTTACTAACACGTCCAAGATTCTTTTAAACAATTCGAAGTGATAACATATAAATCCTTATTAGTTCTTCTAAAATTAAATGCCGCTTCGAATGAAAGCTAATAAATAAATAAAACCATAAATAAATCTTTATCTAAGCAAAATAAACTAAAACGAAGTTATTAAATTTGATACCAAGATAATATTATTGGCTTCGGGAATTAACAAATTGCTATCCTCTTGTTCACTTATGACTTGTTCAATATAAGTGAAGATGAACCCAATTTCTCGTACCTAATAATTAATAAGATAATCATTTAAGTATAGCATTGCTTACTGATACGATTTTCTTTAAATTTCATCCTATTCATTATATATAAATATATATATATTCGTTGAATGTTATAATAATACTTGCATGAAATCGAAAGAAAAATCTGACAATATCTTCATTAGGCTTTATCTGAATTTCACGTTCTTTTAAATAATCTCGAATTGCACTAACAAGTAATTTGCGTTGAGATTCTTCGGTTTGGCCTCTTCTAATATAGACAGTCCAAAAAAAAAGAACTTAACGATTTCGAAATCAAAAATTTGCATTTTGATATATTTTTACATACAAAGATAAGGAGGAATTATAATATTCCCATAACTTTAGTGCACACGCCATTTTTTCTGCGTTCCAAAATAAATGTTGACGAGTGGAAGGGTATAACTATTATCGTGAAAATTATGCCAAAAGATATATTTTTAGAAAAGAATTTGAACATAAAATTTTGTTATGGTCACAACAAATACATACCTTATCAAGCATGTTACTAAATTTGATTATTTGAATAAGTAAAGACATTTTATTGCATCTTTCATTAAGCTGTGATTTAAGCTCAATGAAATCAAACAAGTATTGCGAACCTTAAATATGATGAATTAGTTGAGGAATTAATACTAGCATATTCATATAATTAAGTAAAATGATGCTAATCTTACGTGAATTCATTATCTCATCGCTAATTTCGATAGCTGCAGAATTGATGTCACCATCATGTTCACAGGAGATATAATTTGTTACTGGGACCTAATTAACAAATTAACGCATGACTTGTCAGAAATAATGATTGAAACATAGATTATGAAAGTAAATGTACAGAATCATTGCCTGCCTTTTCACTTGTATTAAATACTGCTTGTTCCAACATCCTTTTTAATTCACGGTCTCTCATTTCCTAACGATCATATATTATAAATATAAATAAAATTATAAGATTGAAATAATGACCAATAAACAATCCATTACCTGTGAATTGTCAAGGTTCATTTGATCGCTATAAATAAAAAAAAAAAAATAAAATTTTAAAAAATAAAATTATATATTTGATATTATTTAGATCATTTAATTTCTTACTGAGTATGATCTCTTTCATCCATTATTTCCATCAAATTTAATTTGCAAGTCATAATACCAGTTTTGGCTGTTAATATATTTATTCGACTAACACGATCAATATTTCTATCATGCCATGACTTAGATCCTTCGCCACAAAATCCAATAATTCGATCTCTGGTCTGATCTTGCAAACTTACTATATTGCTGTAGTTGGAACCTTTATATGATGTGTAAAAAGACCTATTGAGTGTTTTTGTGAGCTATTAAAGAGTTTAAGCTTATTTCATTAAAATCAATTCACCTTCTAATATTGTTGTAATTATAATCGCTTGTGAGAAAACCACGAAAACAGCCGGACCTCCATTAGGCATGACTAAATTTGCTTGTGGTCCAAGTGAAAGATTCTAAAATCCAGTATAGTTCCAGCATTAAATAATATTCGAATGGCTAATTCTATGTGAAAATTAGCTATATATTAAATGAATAACTTACGCTTTGATTTTTGAGCCTATGAATGTTGTCCACCTTATAAATTACAGCATCTGAAAATTGTACCTCTTCAGTGCTTAATATTACCAATGCGTGAGATAAGTTTTTATTTTCTACTATCTCATTTTGATTCGATCCAAAAAAATAAGATACAAGAATGACCAATTCACCATTCCTATTTAAAGATCACCATTAGAAAGATTAGAAAGACGAATATTTTTAAAAAGAACTCATAATTTATACCTTGTAAATTCTATGTCCAGTAATTTTAAATCTACCTGATCAGTTTTTTTTATTCTACTATCACTTAAATAAATTTCTTGGATTATATTGTTGTATATATCTTGTCCTTGCACATACTTTAAAAAAAGTATAATTATATAAGAAATGAGTTAATTGAAAAACTAATGTGTAATAATAATTTAACCTTATTAACCGAACGAGCTTGTCCAAAAGCCCATTTCTCTAGTGATTTTTCCATCAATACAAAGACTTCACTATAGTCACAAAAAAAAAAGAGAATTAGAAATTCAAAACGCGTTAGTTTAAAATATTTTTGTTTAACAAACCTAAGTAAATTATTCTCCAGCCTGTTTCCTAATGTTGTAGTTATAATTTCTCCTGTATCATATTTACTGCTTAACCAAAGGTATGAACTAAAGTTCTCCATAATTCCCACAGAACGTGAAAGTGAAGAAGAACTCATTCCCGTTTTGGAAATATTAATACGATATAACACAGATCGTGCTGAACCGAAAATTATAATACAACTATCTTGTGATGACTGGTGGGTCTATTTAATTAAAAGAAATACTATAAAATATTATTATTCCTATATTTCTTAAGATAATAAACAAATTTGTACCTCATAGCAAGCCAAATGTGTTCCATAATCTCCTTCCTGAAGATATACTTTCAAGCTCGAATAATGATCTTCAAAAACACTTTCTCGTGTTATATCCTCCCAATAGCGAAATTCACCTCTACGAGAACAAGCAAGTAGACCGGGTTTTTGATGTTGATTAGATGGTATAATACATACTAATGGTAATTTAGGATGATTATTTGAATCATCTAATATATCGTCATCATCACATATGGGCATTTTAAACTTGTAAATAGATGTTTCTCGTTCGAAAAGTTGCTAAATAATAAAAAATAAATAAATTTTAATTTTAATCATAAATAATCCTAACTCAAAAACTAACCTTAAAATTATCGACACCGCCGTAATCCCATACAAAACAATGGGTCTGAGTTACTACTGCAGCATGTTCAGTTTGCCAATTAAGTACGCCAATGTACGCCTCTAATAAAAAGCACTCAAGTAATGAATCAAACAAAGTTTCCGAACAAATTCTAAAGCCCAACAGTTGCTTTAAAATGACGCGACAAATTGTTGACAAAAACAAACCCACCAGTATCACGAGTCAATTCCTCTACTTCTTTAGGTAAAGGGAATGTGAATTCTACTACATGTTTTTGAAACTCCAAGTTTAAAAGTGGTGTTTGCGATGTTACAGCTCTATTATCTGTAGAGGAAAATGAGTTGGATAGTGACATTTAAACGCGTGGAATGTTCAAGAGAAAGTACATGAAAAAAATTATTTTCGAAAACATTATTATTGAATTTAGTCACGTGACTATTTAGTATGTCGTTAATGTTACACCGTTGATCATTTTGCAGATTTTACTAGATTCATGGATTTTATTAAACTTTGGTATTAAAAAATGGTAAAAAATAAAATGGAGATAAAGAGATGGCATTGAATATTGGATTAGACTTTTCGATGGATTGATTCAATATTTCAAAATTTATACATTAAATTTCCCACAGGTCTGAAAAATTGCATAACAGTAATTCACTTTTTTTAATAATTACTCATAATAACATAATAAATACTCATTAATTATCATATTAATCATTTCTTAAAAGTCTATTTCATTATTAATCATGATGAATTCAGAAAGGTTTTTACAAGTATATATTATAAATCCTTAACTTTCCTTTCTCTAAAAAATACTTTATCTGAAATTCTTTTTATTGCTTTACAGAATTATTTACAAATTAATAAATTGTTTACTCTTAGAAAAGACTTCTTTTGATAATGCTTTTGTGGTTCGTAAGCAAACAAAAACTTTAAAAATTTTCACTTTTTTTATCCGGTTTATTTTTCTTAAATTTTATTTTTTAAAATTTTGAAAGTTTTTTAAATGTTACATTTTTATTGTTTAGTATAAACTTCTAGCACTATAGTTATCTGAAAAATTCACTATATCAAAAGTTCGCTATATCAAAGTTTGACTGTATTGATAATGTAAATAATTGAATAAATATTATTAACAATTTTTATATGAATAATGTTTATATATAACCAATTTTTGTATGAATGCTGTATAAATGATGTTTATTGTATAACTGATTTTTGTATGAATGCTGTTAATTATAAATTATTTATTTAATATGATATTTTCTGTTAATAGAATTAATTGCTAAATATTCTACTGCATTTTACCAGTCTGAAATTTTATATTTTACTGGAATAAACTGACCTAAAATATGATGTACTGGAATAATGCAGTCACAACTTTCATGATAAAATTTGGATCTTTATAGTTCAACGGTACAAGTTTCGTGTTTATCGTCACTACTAAAATAATATCAAACATCGCTAGAAGCTACATATTAATACTATCATATTGAACATAAGTTAGGAAATATTTAGCAGATTGATTTTGCAAATTAATTGTATGTTTAAAAAAATATTGTATCTGGTCAGGATAACAATTGACTTCACCATTTAATGTCACAAATTTGGCCAGAATAAACAAACTATTTACATGTTGAAATGATATCGAAGAGCCAAATATTTCAGAACCAATTCGACATTTTTCGAATTTGTTCATTTTGACATTAATAATTATTAAACCTTCTGGCTCTTCTTCAAACAGCTTTTGAAAATTGTACATTTCGTAAGTTACATTGTAATATTCTACCATCCGGTCAAGCATATCATCTGATAATGCAATATTTTCAGTAGATGGTTTTAACATTTTGTCTGGAAATGGTTTTTATCCAGTAATCGGTGATTATCAGATATCTTGCAAATATAATAAATATCTTATCATTTTATCTAAAGAAAATTCGTTAGTTTCTGAAAGTAAACCAACTACAGTTTATTGTATTATCAAGTAAATCAAAACCTTTGTCTCAATCTCAAAGCTTATTAAATTAGCTATTTGATTATTATTCATTAATCGCTGCATAATTTCAGGTTCAATTTTTTGATGACTGTTTAGAAAAGAACCTAAAATAACAAATATTATAATCGGCCTTTTTTAAATTGTGAATTATAAAATATTAAATTTGAACTTACCTAACATACCATTCATACGCTTAAATGAAAAACACCAGAAAGCATAAAGGGAACTAAAGTTATATATACATTCATATAAGTGAAGAGAAAGATGTAGGTTTGGCGTTATCATATCTTAACTATAATGGTTTTTTATTAATTTTATGACTTCAATTAGTCTTTGGTAAGCTTTATTCATAAAAGCAGTTTCCACAATTCAATTTACTAATATTGAGCATATTCTTACATAATGTGTAAAAATCTTCCTATCTACAACCAAAAGATGATCATAAAGTGCTACAGTAGCGTAAATATTAAAAAATAATCACCATTAGTCTGCGGTAAAATTAGCAAAACCTTTACCAGAATAGATTTTGCCTGGAATTCAATCTAAATCAAAGGGTATTTGAAATTCAATCATCTTTTTCTGAATTATTTTTAAAGTTTCTTGTAATAATATGTCTGTCTCTATTCAAAGTTATTTAACTATTTATTTTGCAATGCTTAAGAATAGACAATGCATTAGATCTACAATCATGAACATAATTGGATCAAAGTATGGTAAACAAAGTAAGATTATCTGACTTTAGTCTATTTCACAAATCAATTTCGTAAAGTATTTGAATTACAACGTCTCCATCTTAAAGCGTTTTGACAATATTTATTCGAATTCTGAGTAATGAACCAGTCATCCATATTCTCCATATGACCATACCTGCAAAATTATTTTTTCTGTTTTCATAATTTGCGTGTTTCATAATATATACTGATGACAAGAGGCAAGTGCCAAAACATGACTGCAAATTTTTCTTGTGACAGGTATGTCACTGGTATGTCATATGACTTAACCTTTGTTCTTTATTTTTTCCCGAATAAACATGAGAAATATGTGAAAAAAGATCTATATGCAACACAGGACCTACCCCATAAGTAAATAATGCCGACAAAAGCTAATCATACCGGGCAAAACTGAAACCTTTCGTCACATGACGAAACCGAAATATATTTCGTCACTATACTTAATTTCTGAAATTCTGAAATGTTTCGTCATCTGACGAAATTATCACATGACGAAACTAAATATAGATAGATCCGCATAGATAATCAAAGTTCTAAATAAAAATTTCTCTAGTACTCCGAGTCTCCGAATATACAATATAATGTAATGAATATATTATGTAATAATGTGCTTCTATAATCTATATTATAGATATTTCGTGATGAGTACGTCATACGTGTTGTATTGCTTCTCAACAAACTGACAAACAGACAAAGAAAGTCATTGAAGATTTAAAGTTAACATGTCTAATGAGAAAAAAAGAAATCTAGGTGGTCGACCCCAAAGTGAAGTATGGAAGCATTTTGAGAAAACACCTCTTAAGTCTGCCGGTCATTTTTCAGCAAAATGTACTTATTGTACAAAATACTGGCCTCGTGGTACTCCAAATGAGCTAGAAGCACATTTGGCAAATGATTGTAAAGATGTTTCAGAGTATATTCGTTCTTTTTACTTGGGTGTAGTCTCTGCACGAAATTTTGGAAATGAGAATGCTTCTCTGTCAAATAGTAATAAAAAAAGAAAGACCCAAAACTTGGATCAGCGTGAAATAACTGAATGGTTTGAACCGACCACCTTACCCTCTTCAAAAATAGCCTCTATCACTCGCGCCCTTTTGCGCGCATTTGTGTGTTGTGGCATTCCTTTCTCGGTAATTCAGAATCCATTTTTTATTGAGTTTCTTAATGAGATAAGACCGGGATATGAACCACCTACAGATGAATTACTTAGCGGTAGACTTTTAAGCGAGGAAACATCAAGGATCAATAAAAAAGTTGATGTCATTATCAAGAATTCCAGCAATTTAACGCTTGGTAAGATAGTTTTTAAGTTAATTATTTTTTTTTTTATTTTAATATATTTTTAAAATCTAATTTTTTAAAGCTCTTGACGGATGGACAAGCCCAACTGGCACCTCTATCTATAATTACATAATTCTAACACCTGATCGAGAACAATATCTTTATGCCCTTCACGATTACTCTAGTGATCATCATACGGGGGAATTTCTTGCAAATGGAATTGCCGATGTTATAGAAAAAATTGGTCCTAAAAAAATTACAGCATTAGTTACGGATAATGCTGCTAATTGTGTTAAAGCACGAGAGATAATTTCAAGTCAATATCCAAATATTATCAACATTCGATGTATTGCTCATTTTGTTAACTTGATAACTAAAGATATTATGGGTATGTTTTAAAATTCAAATAATATTATAATTTACAATTTCTAATTACAACTTCTCTAATTTTACTAAATTTAGGTCATGATTTTGCTAAACAAACAATTAAAAGTTGCAATCAAATTGCATCGTTTTTCAAAAAATCTCATACAGGAGGACGTTTATTAGCCGATGCTGCATTCACGTTAAAAATTAAAGGCGGAAGTCTCAAATCATATTGCGAGACTAGGTGGACCTCTATGTATGAAACTACCAATTCAGTTTCGCGTTTACAAGCAGCTTTAGAAACTGTAAGTTGTATTTATTACTCATCTTATTTTACAAATTATATTACAATTTATATTTTAATACTATAAATAATTATAGGTTTTATTAAACAATCCTAATGATATTACAAGCAAAGCTGTTAAAAAATATATCCGAAGCTTAGAATTTTTTGGAAATGTTAACAAATTAACAGAGGTTTTAAAGCCAATTAAAACCGCAATTACTTTACTTGAAAGTGCAAACACTAATCTCTCAGACTGTTTCATACAATTAATTTTATTAGCAAATGCTATTAAAAAATTACCTTCTCAAGGAATGATGGAATTTCATCAGCACTGTATCAAAGCGTTTAATAAACGTTGGGCTAATTTTGATCCAAAATTGTATATACTCGCGTACTTCTTACATCCGGGTTATCGTGGTTAGTATAATTATCTAATTTTTTTTGAATATTATAAAACATAATGTAAATATATAATCTAATGATTCTAATCCTTTAATATCTTTAATAGCAACTGGATTAAAAATAGAATATTGGAAAATTATAACTACCACTGCAGCGCAAATTTGGCAAAATAATGGAGGGGATAAGAGATCATGTGACCGTCTCTTAGCACAAATGCGTAACTATGAATTGCGACGTGAGCCATACGATCAAGAATTTGATAGGCAACTTGAAACACCAATGAGTTGGTGGCTTTCAATCAAAGATAAATATGATCATCTTTGTGATTTGGCCATAATGATATTTTCTATTACTCCACACAGTGCGGGGTGCGAAAGAGTTTTTCTACTTTAGGTTGGTTGTATGGTAAGCGAAGACAACGTTTAGGACTTTCAAGAGTTGAGGCTATGGCAAAGATTCGTTCATTTTATATATCCAATATAAGAGCCGAGCTTGTTTATGCTAGCCAAAAATATATAGTGGATGAATTACATGAAATGGTTAATGATTCGGTATTTTTACAATTTGAAAATGTGGATGAAAGTGAAACAGCTTCTGAGCCTTTAGAAATTCCCAATCACGAAGTTCAAGTTTTAATAATTGAGAAATTTATTGATTTAAAGAAAACAGTAAGGGAATTAGATGATGAAAATAGTGATACAAGTGCAAGTGATAGCGAAATTGATAGCAGTAGTGTTGATGATAATTACAGTGAAGACGATAGTGACAATGAAAATGATAATTTGGAAGTGGAAACTGATGGGTATAATATTGAAGAATTAACTAATAAATATTTGCTGGATAATGAAGATACGTTGTAAATTGTAGTTAGAAATTAGAATAATAATCCAGTCAAGATTTTTTTTTTGCGTATTAATAAATATTATAAAAAATTAATGTTCTCAATTGTAAACTTGAATTATTAACGCAAATTGTTTGTAAATTTTATTGATATTAACGAAATTGTTTCAAATGAAACATAAACTGACCATAATTTAAAGTTTTTTTATGATTATCATGTGTTTATTGTATTATAATCAGTTACGTTTTAACCAAAATTGGTTTCGTCATTTCGGATAAAAGATTAAGTTTCGGAATTAGTTTAGGTTTCGGAAAAGGTTTAGTAACTTAAAAAAAATCCTAAACGTTTCAGATTTGAAAAAACAGTTTCGTCCGGAATCATTAACAAAAGCATATGTTATGAAAGGCTGAGGGACTCGCAATTTCGAGATCGCCAGGCGTAAAGCCAACTATATGTCTTGCAAGGTAGATCTACATGTGAAAAGGTATGAAGATTCCATTTGCATGTGTCTTCAAAGAACTCTTGGCATCATATGACAATGCTAATCACTATTCTTATCTCCTTATCTTTTTTCCCAGCAAGATATAAAGCATGTAGAGGTATGTGGAAGTTCAGCCAACTTTTCGCAAAAAACTTTTCCAGAGAAAATAACGCAAAATAAGGTATGTATATGCCCTAAATTATGTATGTATAGGAGCGAGTTTTTCTCACTATGGGCTCTTGAATTTAGGAAATTCACTACACAATAACTGATAACAATGGTATCGAAATCACTCTCAACTGCCTTATTGTTCCTGTAGGGAACCTCATTGGGGTCCCATGTAGTGAAGTAAATCAAGCGATTACAATTAGAATAAATTGACCAGTTAGTGCACTTGAAGGAGCAATTCAAGCAAGATTGTGTCTCTAAGCATTCGTCAAATTAATCCCAGTAGTGTTTCTGAAAGACCTATGCAATAGCAGACTTTGATTTCTGATTTTTTTAATCAACCACCTGAGGCAGAATTCTTTCATGTCACCGTATATTCCCGTTAATAATTTACAGTACCATGTAGCGATAGCCATTAAGGCGCTTCGCATAGTCGCAATTTTTATGTATTTTAGGCGGCTACTGGCAACGTTTTTTATTTCATAAATAAAGTATTATTTTATCGAACGTATATGAAAAATGGGTCACGTGAAATGATGCAATGCCTGTGCTACATAAAAAGCTATATTAACACCCAGTATTTTCTTTCCCGAACAGAAATAAATTTTTATCTTACTCCGGAAAGTAACACTATTTTTTTGTCCGAGCCTATTATCACTATAAAAACGTAACACTATGTCTGAACCTAGTACACCTTATACTCCAGCTTCCACCTCCACTACTGTTGCTAGAAATGAGACGCTTACGTTAGCGGACAAAATCAAAAAATATGACACGACCAAGCTTGTAGATTTATTGCGTGAGGAAAAAGACTTAGGTCTTAACGATGAAGACTTGGAGATAATTTGCAAGAGGAAAATTAATGGCTGGGCTTTCCTCAAGATGGACCAACAAGATTTCAGAGATAGTGGGTTTAAAATAGGAACAGCAATAGTACTCGCGGACTTCGCTGAGAAGTGTAAAGAGAAAAAGAAGCGTGTCATACCGCAGTTTAGAGGAAGTGTTAGAAAAATACAGCATTAAGAGTAGTAGTATAACGAGCATCTCCCAATTCACACCAGGTAAGTTATGCTCATGCCAACCTTTTTTCGTCATAAATACCAACTCACGTATTCTGAATTTATAGACCCTTACCCAATCGATGAAAGTTCTAAGGAGTTCAAGCTCTGCATAGATGACATTCTTCGTAGGATAAAAAATATGGGGCCAGTCGTAGATAGTAATGAGGCTATGCGTTGTAAGTACATTTCTACGATTCTTTATACCGCTGTTAGCATCCTCGGAGGATTGGTGATCTTGCCTCAGATGAATGTATCTGGTGAAGAAAATTCCAGCTGTGTAGATTATGCGATCAAGAAAATACTGGATGATTTGCTTGAAAAAATAATATGCATAACTGAAGGAAAGCAAAACCAGCTGGGAAAAGGTGTGGCACAAAATCTAATGCAATGTCGAAGTTCGTGCGAAGTAAGTAATACCATTTTTTTATGTCTAGCCTCCATTCGACTATCCTTCTATCAGAATATACTAACCAATCATCATCTGTAATCATAGATGAATTTAGATACGCTCAAGAAAAAGCGTAAGACTGAAGAAGCATTCAAGGAGTATGAATATGTCTATGGTATCGTCACAACAGGTGAGAAATGACTCTAGTGAATCTGTTTTTTATTCCTTTGGTCTTTTGCATCACTAACTTGTTTTATAATTTCTTAGCCACAGACTGGTATTTCATTCTACATAGCACCGAGGCTATCTATTGTACGAGCAAGACTGAGTATCACATCTCCCTAACTGAAGACGCACTCAAGGACTCAACCGATTTACGTAAAAATGTGAAGAGGATTTTAGAGGTTATAGTGGGCTTGTTAAAAGATAGGGTAACAGCTAGTGAAGAATTTGCAAATAAGAAGCGCTGTGTAAAAGAGATAATAAAGAAAAAACAATTGTATAGGAGACTAGTGTAGATGTCATGTATCACGGGCTAAGTCTCGAACATTTGTATTTATTTTTCGCATGTAATAATAAAATTTTTCTTGGCAAATTTCGGCGAACTCGGTTCACCCAAAATCACGTGTTTTTTATTTTGAATGCTTATATACATTGTATTAGTTATATATAGATAATGTCATCCGAGCTTAAATTATTGAAACAGCGCATCACTGAACTTGAGGCTGAGAATACAGAGCTTAGGAAAGAGAATACTGAGATCCCCTATCTTAGAAACAAGCTCTCTGAAATAGCTGAACTTAAGCGCAGGAATATTGAGTTTCTAAGAACGAATAAGGAATATAACGAGAGGCGTGATGCTGAAAATGCCAAACTCAAGGCCAGAATCGAGGAGTTGGAGAAAAACAAGGAAGATTCTTCAGCTGAGAATGTTAGGCGTGATGTTGAAATTGCTGAGATTAAGGCTGAAGTAGTGAAACTAGCTGAAGGCGCTTAGGCAAGAGATAATAACGAAGAAAGCAAACAGTTAACTTCCCGTCAATCAGAAGTTATTTCTAAAGAAATGATTTCAGGATATGATCAGAATACTATAGATGAGATAGAGCCTCAAAGCTCTGCTTTCTCGAATACTATTAATCTGGCATTGAATGTATATGAGAAGGAGGATGTGAGTGATCATACTTTAGCGCCTTTAGCTAAATCATCGGAGAAAAAAAAGACAGATGCTTTCTTGAACGAGGTGGATAAGAAAATGATTCATGACAGGATTAGGCAAAGGAATAGAGAGAAAAAACTTCAGCGAAAAAACGAACAGGGTTTGATTCAAGAAATTAATTCATCCATGAAAGAAAAACACATCCTCTCGGCTGTGACTGAAATTTCAGCGAACCAAGTTCGCCCAAATTCTTTAGCAGAGAGAAATGAAGAGCGAGCGGTCCTCCCTGATATTATTAATCTATATGAAACTGCATGCGGTGCGGAAAAGAAAGCAATCGAAGCCAATAGAAAAGAAACTTTGCATTGGTGTTTCTATGCTAGAGAATTCAAGAGAATGTATAAAGATTTTATGATCAACAATAAAGTTGGGGAAAAGAAAGTGAAAGGTCAGGTATATGATTTTATTATCAAACAACTTCCCGATACTAAATGCAAAACTTTATGTAGGCAAACACAGTAAGCTTTGAGAATTGATGATTTATTCAAAAAAATAGGAATAGACAAGCTTCAATACATAAAAACATATAGTGCAGATACTATTTCGAAATTTACTGATCCTCAGATTCAAACAATAATAAATCACTTCACCGAAAAGCCTAATATGGAATTTATTAATGATACTGAAGATGAAAAACAAGATGACGATCAGAATAATGTATTGGAGGTCTTGCCTCTAAATGAATCAACTACACCTATTACATTAGCCTATGACTCTGCGAAGCACCTTAACGGCAATTCTTCTGATAATTCCAAGGAAGTAGACCCAAGCAATTCACTCGAAGTTGGGGACGATTATTACAAAATGCTCTTGGAAGATTGAGACGATTCAGATGATAATGGATATAATAGATACGGTGGATATAATGAATATGGTGAACGTAATAGAGGTTATTATTATCATGATGGAGGATATGAAATATACTTGTAGCCAAAACCTTTTCACGTGATTTTTGGCCACGTCTTTAAATCAAAATTAAGTTAAAAAATGATAAAAATTAATCTCTACATTCAGCCGAAACTATAATATAAAGTCTTTGGAGTTTCGGATGGATTTCTGGATAGTTTTTAATAATTTATTATAATTAAATTACTGAAAGTCCGAAACCCTGTCCAGCTTCATAGAGGTTTCGGCTACATGTATAATATGAAAGGAAATCCTCCCCAATGATGAGTTCTATCATCTTTCCAGTAACCACCTAGGAGAATTATGTACAGCGCTCCAGCAATGTGATATCAGCTTGGGTGAATCGTATAGACTGAATTATTATTATTTCTTTTTCGAATCACGTGGATGGCTTAGATATCGTACACAGTAAAACGTCATCTATACTTCTACAGAAAAATGCTATGTGCAGTAGAGTAACTTCGTCATGTGGACCGTTACCTGAAATGCGCAAAGCACTGGATGCAGTTTTATATGATCACGTGAAATTTATTTATACAGTTTACAGTAGGATCGGCATCATGCATGAATTAGAAACCGTGCCCAGAAAATGGAGCCGCATGCGCAGAAAATATTCAGTAAAATGTGAGAATTTTGTCATATGATGATACGAAGCAGTTTTTCATTCACAGGTTCTGGAATTTTTTATGAATTCATGTGGTATTGAGAATAATTGATTGTACGATTAGAATCTAGATCACCGGATAAATGGAAGATTTTTATTTAGCTTATTGGGCATTCATTATCCCATTTTTGAAAAAATATGAGCGATTATACTAATAAATTGGGCTATAACGTTTATTTTACATAATGAAGGGAGCATAACTAAGGTAATAAGGGAAAGGGTCTGTCAATTCTTAATGGTGTTAATAATAAAAATCATATGTTGTGAAGAGTTGAAAACTTTACAATCTCCGAGATCTACATTAGTTTACTTTGTGTCCAAAGAGATTATCATACCAAAAAGGATAATCCCCCTATTTCCTATTGTCTGCAGGAATTAAGCATATTATTAGTTAGTGTTTTAGTAATTACAAAGGAAATAAGTATGAATGGGGAAATCTTTCCTCGAATGTAGAATATGCGCGGGTAAAGTGTGAAGAGATTAGTAATTGAAATTAAACTATAAATACGGTACTTGAAATAAAAATTCTGAAGCATTTCCCATTGATATTGACGAATCAGAGTTTGTCTCAGAACTTGGAAAGAAAATCAAAGAAAAAGTTAAAGAGCTAAAAAATGACATATGTTCCGATATTGATGACGGTGATCTAGATTTACAGCTCTGGAAGGTTAATATCTTTAATAGCGATGTAGACAAGTTTTCGAGCCTTCGTCTACAAGAGGATGAAAGTAAGGGTATAGAGAAACTTGAAGGAACAAACCTTATTAGTAAATATTGGGGTGATTTAGAAGAAGGATTTACTCATGTTATTGTTACCTCAAATTATTTAATTAATCAAAATTTGAGAGAAAAAATTAAAGAATTAACTGAAAACTTTGAGAATGTGTCAATTCAGTTTGAAAGTGAGTAGTTTATCATTGTTATGTTTTTGATCAAGATATAATAATACAAAGTTTTATTTTTAGAGGAAATGGGTTATTTTGGTCGACTCTTCGAAATGCTAACCACAATAAAAAAAACAAAAATCGTGCTGGTAAGGCCTCTTATCTACTTAATTCTAATTACAATAAAGATTATACCTTTTTTTTCTTGACTTTTTTTGACTTCTTAATTCGTCCTTAACAGAGAATTCCATATTACAACTCGCATATAGTGAAAAAATCGTTAGTGAAGGCGATGACATTTTATATAATAATATTAAGATTACCACTTTGAAAGTGGCAGAAGGATAGGCATACATTGAGTATGGAAACGAGTATATTACAAATATAACGGAATTTATCAAGAAAAAAGAGATGGTGAGCTGTCGCTAGTTTGAATAGTTAATGTATTGTCAACAACTCATAATCTCATATTATCTCGTAATTGTAGATAACATACCCTCTGGTGCCTAAACAACGTGAGCTCTTTGCTATAGGCAATAGATCTTATAAGAATATACGTGAGATTCTGAGACCAAAATTACCACAAAGAGGGAGGTAAAAAAAAGTTGTAAAAAATTTTGACTCTGTCTCTGTCTACTTTCATCTAATATCATTATGTAGTAGTCTTCCACCTGTATTATGTATTTTTTTCGATCAATAAAAAGCAATTAATTTACCCAATTCAGATATATAATGGAGTGGGTTATGAGATTGTGGGAAGCGAAGTGAGCGTGTATGCCAATATATTCTTTTATTGTACTGAGATTATCTAGAACTTGATAAATAAACCCACAGAACATTGCACGTCTGAAATGTGTATTAGGTTGACGGTGCAGTGTGGCACAGCGATTTTTTCCAAAAAAATTAAATTGCAATTTTTTTTATTTAAAATAAAACCTTTAAATTACTATACAGTCAACCCTTGTTATAACAAACCCTAGGTTCTAGACCTCAACTTCGCTATAGAGCTATAGTGAAGATTTTAAGAGATTTGATTGGTTAATTCGTTATAACAAGGGGAAATTTATTATAGTTGTCTGAAAAATTCACTATATCAAGAGTTCGTTATATCAAGGTTTGACTGTATTAAATGTATTTTCGTCCGCTCTGCAAATTTACTTAGAAAATATACGGGTGGTTTAGAAGGCCATTTTCAAGTAATTTAACAAAAACTGTTTTTTCAACAAATCCAATTTTGGAAATGATCAGCAAAGACAATAAAATCAGTTGTTATATACTAAAGTCAAAATCTACTTCCAAAACCTCCTTCCATTTATAAGTGAATTTTGTAAAACAGATGAAAATATATCTAATATGTAAATTTGAAAATATTACATTAAAAAGAAAATCTTTAACTTATTTTTTTTTGAAATTACTGTGCCATACTGCACTGTCAACCTGACACACATTTCAAATGTGCCGGAACATTTTAATATGATGTCACTCATACAGTATCACGCATGTCTGAAATGTGTGTCAGGTTAACGGCGCAGCGATTTTTTCCAAAAAAATTAAATTGCAATTTTTTTTATTTAAAATAAAACCTTTAAATTACTACATTAGATGTATTTTCGTCTGCTCTGCAAAGTTGCTTAGAGAATATACGGGTGGTTTAGAAGGCTATTTTCGAGTTATTTAACAAAAACTGTTTTTTTGACAAATCCAATTTTGGAAATGATCGGCAAAGATGATAAAATCAGTTGTTATATACTAAAGTCAAAATCTACTTCCAAAACCTCCTTCCATTTATAAGTGAATTTTGTAAAACAGATGAAAATACATCTAATGTGTAAATTTGAAAACATTACATTAAAAAGAAAATCTTTAACTTATTTTTTTTTTGAAATTACTGCGCCACACTGCGCCGTCAACCTGACACACATTTCAGATGTACCAGTATCACAGGTATATCCCGAACTTTTGTATTTATTTTTTACTTCTGTATTAATAAAAATTTTTCTTGGCAAAATTTCAGCGAACTCAGTTCACCCAAAATCACGCGGGTGGCTTAGACATCACATCATTATATGCGCAGTAAAACGTCATACGCCACTGGTTCATGTGAATCTGCAGAATATTCTATGCGCAGTAGTACATCACCAGCATCCGCAGTCATTATTTTTAGAGGATCTATTAATAACCCCGGCCAAGAGCAGTATTTTTGTGTTAACATACTGATGGACTTTCCTTAAAGTTCTGGTATGTTCTATATCACTCATTACGCAGTTCTGAATTACTAATAAAAAAACACATCCTGATTTTCATGTGGATCATAAGACAGGGCGTTGTTAAATAGAAATTCAAAAATGGAAATAGAGCGAATAGAAACTATGATTTACAGATCCTCGGACAAACGGTATATTTTTATTATCCTACTGAAGTTAGCGACTTCAAATTACGTGTATGGGTAATAACACATTAATCCGTTTTTGAATAGGAATTAGTGTGACTCGTCATCTACAAATCTCGATCCATGATGAACAAATATTCCGATTTTTTGTGATTACAATTGAAATAAGGGTTGTGAACTCAAACAAAAATGCACCACATCCGATCTTCTGTTTCGCAAGAGATCTTAGAAACAAACGGAAAATTTTGAGATACAGGCACACGGCATTGCTCCATTAGTATTATATCAAGTTGTCATAAAACCGTAATTTGTCAGATTTTATTTTAAGCATTATTGTTAAATACGCCTCAAATTCAGGGAGGAAAATTTTGTTATTATTAGACAGGATTCAGGCCGTTAATATTGCTTTAGCTGAAAAAATATAATTATGAAAAATGTAATTATGACAAATACACATAATAAAGCAAAATAATTTTTATTAAATCAGGTTAAATTCTCTTTTCACGCATAGTAGGCAAACAGTATAAAACAAACCTTTTCTCAGCGCATTTACGCAAGAGATTGCATATTAAAAAAAAAAATCAATCGTTAATATCTAAAAAACTTGATCCACCAATAAAATCTCTTAATAAAATTACTACATATCAATTTACCTAATCATGTTCAGTTTGTCATTGCTCAACTCTTCGGAGTCATGCCTTTTTTGACCTTAACCGCTGTTTTTTTGTTCATCGGTCCATAGGGATTGCTACCATGTGGTCAAAAAATTTCCAATGAACTTTCTGCACGTGTCACTAGAATCGTTAATGATCTTGATACAAAAAATAATACACCGGAAATCGAAAACATCTTCAGTAAACTTACCGCAGAAATTAATGCTAAAATCACCAATAACTTTCCGCATGTCTATCTGAAGTTAATTCTACTTTCACTGGGGAGCTCGGCAGAATCAATAATGAACTTAATAAAATCAATTCACATGATTCTGGAACGTCACTGAGGCGCAGAAAATTTTATCGATAGTCAATAATGTGACCACAAGACTCAATAATATTGAAGAAGCCTGCCGTAATGATTTTGGCAACATTTCATCTGAATTCACTTCGATCAAGACCTCCATTGAAGCTCTCTGAAATGAAATGATCCAATGTTATGCAATTGCTCAAAAGCATCAATACGAATTTGATCAGCAGAGTACATCATCTGCTTCATCCAATTCATCTCTTGAAGAAAATAGAAACCGTTTAAGCGAGTTTTCGATTCGAAAAAGGAATTGGGAGCACTAATGACTATGCGTTTGGAACTGTGAGACGTGAAATTCGTGAACTTACTGGGGAAAAGATTGAGAAAGTTACTGTGAAAAGCTTTTATTATAGTGAAAGGGATCCAAAATTTAATACAGTAATGTTATGCGATGATTAGATAGTAAAGAAATTTCTAGTTTAGACAATAACTTAGATAATCAAGAGTAGCGGAAAAGGAACTGCCATTATATGAGTTAGGGCTCGGCAGGCTTAACAAGCAGGTGTGTTTTTTCATGTCTTTCCTCCCTTGAAACAACCTCTTACTCTATTGTTTTTTACTTTCATTTTTTCTTAGCCGGCCGGCCCTTTCTCATATTATTTTATGAAAAGAATATGTGTGTGTTTTATGTGTATATAAGTTCTCAAATATAAGTTTTGTGTTCGCATATCAATGAAAAATATATCTGGCTTATAATAAAAAAACTTGCCTCTTTGATAGCATCATAAATTTTGCTTACTTTCTAGCATTTTTTTATCAAGCTTTTATTTTTATAACTTTAGATTATCTAATTCATTAAAAAAACTCGCTCATAAAAATTTAATCTAATACAACTTTGTATATATTTAATAAAAATCTAATAAACACTCCGAAAAAAAAGAAAGTGAATCATGGTTGAAGAACAAAAAATGAATCATCAAGCGCAAAATCGCTCCTGCACACTGCCACATTATGAAGAATCCAAGCGGTACCGATTGGCTCCGGTTGAGGTTGAACGTTGGGGTCGAAGAATGCATTGGGGTATAGCCCGCGAATGTTTCTGCGCACAGTGTAGAGTTCAGTGGCATTTGGGAAATAGAAAATAGCGCAAGAACCTTCGTCTCTACGTCTATTATTAAGACTGTTTGTAGCAAATGCATTCATTACCATTTGATAATTCGCATACGTGTTTTGGTTAATCCAATTTTGATTTGCTACGATAATAAGTACGGGATCAAGGTCGTCTACTTTACTAAGTTGTTGCTCATATTTCTCAATATCTTTGTTTGAAGCTTCCGGGAAAATAGTCTCAAGGGCCTCTCTGGTAGATGAGAACATTCTAGAAATAATGTGAAAAAAGTTTAACTACAATAGCTTGGATAAAATTACGCATTACTTACTCGTTTATGTCATCTTCATTCATGTCGTTTCCTGCTTGATTATCATTAATGGGCTTCTTTCCTTTGTCGTTTCCTGCGTTATTTCCTACGTCATTCATGTTATTTCCTCCTGCATTCATGTTATTTCCTCCTGCATTCATGTTATTTCCTCCTGCGTTTCCTGCGTTTCCTGGTTGTGATAAATTACTGATTAGATTATCAGTCATAAAACACGTGAAATCTAATTTTTGATTACCTCTCAACAATAACAAAATAGCACCAATTATATTAGCAATAATAAAAGCAACAAAGACGAATGGCACAGCCTAAAGAATGGAGACAATTTAGAGAAGTGATATAGTTTAAAAAAGTTGGCAAAATGAGGGGACAGGCCAGCCAGCCGAATAAAGAACACATTGGAAGGATCGTGACATAAGTAAAAACCCTAACCCTAATCCTAACCCTAACCCTAACAGGTAAACCATTCGATAGGCGATAAAAGTGAAATGAATGAAACAATTTTTCGGATAACTCCTTGTAAAAACATAGTTTTGGAAAATTAAGAGCTACAGTATTTCAAGAATGGAGTTAGTGATCTAAAGAGTGAGAATCTAAAAAGAAAAAAGAAATATCAAAAGAATCATCTAGGGGTATTTAACTCCTACTTAATAATGCGATCACATGAAAAATAATATGTATTATTGTATAAAAATTACGAATTATATGATTTTTTTATGGTGATTTTTAAGGGATTCTCCCGAAATCCCGACAACCATAATCCCGATGTGATAAAATCTTGACACTCCTATTCCCGACCAAGACAATATCCTGAATGATTAAAATACTGAAAGAATTATATCCCGAATAGTCCAAAATCTGGAATTCAAAATTCCCGAAAGTTCAAGTTACTGATGAGTCAAAATCCCGACACAATAAAGAAAAGAATTTTTTCATGTGATCATTTATGTAATAAATCTTAGTGATTGCACAATTGTTAATAATTTGCATAATTTGCCAAGGAGTTATTATGTCAATTACTACTGCGTGATCTCACTATATATTATACTGTAACATGTAAGTCATAAATCAAAATTGCAATTTTTTATCATTTAAATTGGAAATAGTGCATATGTATTGTATATATGATTGTATTAATTGTCGCAAATTATATAATCAGTAGGAAATGATCTTCCTAGTAAATAAAAATCAAAGAGATACTCAAAATTATAATATTGTGTCGGGATTTTGACTCATCAGTAACTTGAACTTTCAGGAAATTTAAATTCTGGATTTTAGACCATTCGGGATATGATACTTTCGGGATTTTGATCGTTCAGTATATTGTCTCTGTTAGGAATACGTGCCTCGGGATTTTATCATATCGGGATTGTGCTTGTCGGGATTTCGTGATAAACCTGATTTTTAATGTGATTGGTTGATTTTACTAATCAATGATTTATTATCAGCCGTGTGGACCTGGTTTATGGTACTAAAGATGTTCTAAAGCCTCTTCGACTATAAGAAGTATAATGGGACCGTTAAAAATACACAAGGCATTATTAGCATCAAGAGTAGGCAAGTAATATAGATTCTCAACAGGGACTTGACTAAAGTTATGATCTAATTTATTTCTGACACTGCATGTCTCGTATAAGTATAACTGATGACCGGTTTTATTTTATCCAGATGGGGACAGATTATGGAGTTAATGTTGGGTAATTGTGTTAGTATAGTTTAGGAAAGTGAAAACTGGTGTCCACATGCATTAGTATTAGTATAGAGACATCATTTTGCTTTGTAAAGCAAACCTACGTAGAATTAATAATTTGTATGGTTGCCCACATTAGGCTCGTTATTTTTAACATGTAATGATGTGGTGTGTGTGTCTGAGAAGTTTCTATTCGATTTTTTGTGTAATTCCGGATGAATAAAATTATAGTTGAAAAAAAACAATATTGGATCGTAAAAGCATTTAAAAGTTTTGACTTTATTCAATGAGACTCAACTCTCAAAGATGATTTGGAATTACTACGTAAGGATCCTCGTAATACCAAACATCAGGGAAGATTGCCAGCACATTGTGTGCACCATCTTCCCATATTTTTTATTCGATAAAGGGTTGTAGACCATTCATGACTTTGGCACATTTCCAAAGCATCGGGGTATCTGTATTAACATATTTTGTAGAAAGGCACTCCCCACCTCGTTTTTGTGCAATATTATTTGCTATATCAATATTGAATCATCGTTGTCTACGTTTCCGGTTCTGTGTATTATGTCTTTGGATTGGGGTGCATTCTTGTTCTGGTGTAATATGTTCTTGTACTGGGATAATCTTTCGGCTTGGTATAACACGTTTTCTGCCTGGTTTACTACACCTTCGACACCAAGTTCCCTTAAGAATATCCTTTGCTGAAGCCTTCCATTTATGGCCTTCTTTACACGATGATCCCGTCTATTAACATACTCAGTTGCAAGGCAAAGACTTCCTTTCTTTTCTGCAAACTTCCTCCTATCTTCAATTGTTTGAGTACGACGTGCACACTATAGGCACCATGTTTTTTCATTCTTTACGCTAGTAAGCCTTGCAGACCATAAATGATCCTTAGCACATTTCCAAAGCATTGGTATCTGACAATTGACATATCTTTCAGAGATACATTCACCTCCTCTGCTACGTGCAATCTCTTTAGCAACATCCAAAGTTAATTTTGCCATTAATATTTTACACTAAATTTCAAAAGGCCGGCGGAAAGCATGATATTATTTCATTTGTGCTTTATTCCTCCCTTTAAACGTGATACTCCAATATCTTTTATTAGTTTCATTTTTTACTTAGTTGGCCGGCCCTTTCTCATGTATACTTCACGAAAAAAATATAATAAAGAATTCATTTGATTTTAAAATATACTGTGTTTATTTTACAAGTAAAATAATTACATTTGCTTTTGTTTTTCACATATTACAGATATAATATTTCGCACTAGCGGACAACAGTAAATTAACGAAAAAACCCTAATCATCTTCTGTTTGAGCACCACCATAATTAAAAGTAACATTGATCACGTTTGCATTTTGCGAAAAAGAAGGTAATGTTGGAGTAATAGGTCTGGAAATATTAGGTGTTTCGACAGGATTTGCAAGTGATAATGATTTTCTGGAGACGCCAATGGCAGAACTTGATTTCTCTTTGGGCCGTTCAGGTGAGATTGAGGAGGCTGATGTCTCGTGAGAACTCGTCCTACTAACATTTTCATTACGCACTTGCTCGAATGGAAGTTCTAGCGAATGGTGATAGTATTAATTTAGAGATAATCACCCATTTATTTTCTACAGAAACATACCTGGTTTTAACCAGAACTTCTCTGAGAACTCTTTGTATATTTTTTTCCCACCAAACTCTTCTTGGTTCCAGTTCCTTCTCTATATCTTTTGGCCGTCTAAAAATAGTAAGTATATTAACCCTAGATTCCACATAAAATCCAAGTAGGCCTACTTACATTAAAAGCTTAAGAACTTCTTGTGACAGTCTTTACTGAGGAAAAAGTTGGTATTCTCTTGTTCGTTAAGCTTACTGGCAATATCGTCCTAAAAATCTTGTTTCTTCTTATTTGGGGTGGCATGATATTCGGAATTTCTTTATTTACGTTCGTTGATGAGAAGACGAAGCTGAGCGTCAGACCACTCAGTAAAAGAAGACATGTTTACATTGGTGAGAGAACTCCATAAAAATTGGGCCGGTTTTATGAAAATATCGAGTGATGTATTCTGATCATAGTGAAGGATGATTGATTTGATTTAATGAAATGATTAATCGAATAATAATGGTGGCTTAGCCTTTATTTTAATCCACATGATATGCTGATCACCCGTGATTTGAGAAACCACTCAGCGCCATGAAAGTGCCAGGGAAGTGTCATGGAACTGGTGGAGATCTCATGTGATACAAATTTTATAGTTTAGCCATTCATGGTGATCGGGTTTAATTTAACTGAATCATGACATCAGAGTTATAATATCTGTTTTTCACCCAAACAATCGAATAAAAATGAATCTTATATTTATTAGAGTATACTAGTGCTAAATCAGCTATAAAACAATAAAATCGCTATAATTTATTTATTGTGCATATTCAAGTGTATTAATATGACAAGTGTGATTAAATTTCCACTAGGCGATAGTTTTGAGAGTACTTATGAGGAGTATGTCGCACAGGTCAAAAAGTGAAAAATCAGGCATCAATTAGTCACCAATCGGTTAGCTAATTGGTGACTGATTGGCATTTTTGCCAAATACCGTCACCAATCAGGCAGTTTACTAACTTTTGATCCAGTAATCAGAAAAGAATGAAATATAGCTCATTGGAATCATCTCAATAAAATGAATCTAATGGTAGTAAAACCTATATATACTTCTCAGTAGAATTAAAAAGTCAATGTCAAAATATTACGGCATAGCCAAAAACAATTACGTCAGTACAAATGTTTACTAATAAAACATATAATTACGGCGAATTATGGCATTTTAATTACATCTATCATAATTCAAAAATTCAATTCCGCTGATAAGTATAGTAAACCCGCATTTCTAGGATTAATACGTGATGAGAAATTAAGTAAAATATAAAAATAAAAATATCTTATTTATATTTTATTTAATTTTTTATTACAGCAGATTGCAAAATTGTAAGACCACCCTATGATTTTCAATTTGAAAATTTGATATTTTGAATTTTTCAAGAATTAGTAAAAAAGCAAGTTTAAATACCTATTTTACACTAGTCGAACGATGTTAAATCGGGAACCAATCAGGTGATCAAATTCCACCCGATTGGTCCCTACACACGTCAAATGACCAAAAATAGGCAAAAAAAATGGCTAGAATTGCATAAACTATTCGCAAATTTATATAAACTATTTACAAATAGTATAGGTTAATTCGCAAATAGCCAAAAACAGCCAAGAATAGCCAAGAATAGCCAAGAATAGCCAAGAATAGCCACTGCTTTTCGCGCCATTTTTTTTGCCAATTTTTAGCATTTCGACCTGTGCTATTTTTTAAAAAATTTTCATCAATCAGTAAACCCGATTGCTGCCAAAAGATTGTGCAAAAGGAGGATACTCAGGTACCAATCGGGATATTCAATAGAGTACAATCGGGTATTAATAATTACCAATAGAATATTTACTATTTGACATATCAGTATACCAATTTATAGCTTTTTGATAAATTTATAACAATAAGAAATCTTCCGATTGCCATACATTTTTATTTAAAAATTTACAAAAATTTACGATTTTATTTAAAATATTTAAAATATTTACTATACTAAAAAATCAGTTTTATTGAAATACTGATACAGTGACACATCTATAAGTGCACCCTCTATAAGTGCACACACTATATAAATTCTCTTTAAGTGCACAGTAGACCTAATCCCAACTTATAAAAGCTCTTAATATTTTACTCTCTATAAATGCACACCCTCTCTAAGTACACATTATACTATTTTTTTACTATGGTCCCAAGGGGGTGCATTTAAAGAGGTGTCACTGTATTGCTAAAATTGTTATTTATATAATTTGACTACTCCACTATTCGCTGCTGATACTATCATATTCAGAGGAAACAACACTAACACTTCTTTTATTTTTATTTTAATCCTCTTCTTTGTCTTCCTGATTTTCGTCAACTTCTTCTAGATTTTCTTCAACTTCTTCTTGATTTTCGTCAACAACTTCTTGATTTTCATCTTCTTCAGCCTGATCATCTTCTTCCGGTGGATCCTGGTTTTCGTCAGCTTCTTCCAGAGGAGAGTAAGGTTGCTTGCCGAAACCTAGGAGTTTAGGCAAGATGGCGTTTTGCCGAAAAGCGAAATTCTGCTGAAACTATATTAAAGTTATATTAAAAAACTGGCAAAACTTTGGAGAAAGGCGAAATTGCCAAAACTTATTATAAATGCTAAAACTGCTGAAACTCTGCCGAAACTATAATAAATCTATAGTAAAATTTTGACGAAACTAATCGTAGGATTTTGAAGAGGTTTAGACAAGCAACCTTAGAGGAGAGCATTTATTTTCACTATATTTCTCGATAAGCTGTTTTAGGGATCCATTGTAGCCATCTTTAGTCCATCGTAGGGCGTTAATTGGTGCATCGATTTTGTTAGTTGCGTAATTACTATACTTCCGATTTCTTACACGTCAAGACTTTGATGAAGCTGCACTATCAACATAATTTTGAAGAAATGTACGTAGCTATACAAATAAAAATAGTATTAAATTAAGATACACCGATTGGTAAAAATTACTTGAATACTTATGGAAGATGATCTCCATTTGAGATCCTGAATGATGATCTTACATTTGTTAGGTTGTCTTCATCGGTCTCCGATTTTTCTGGACTGTGATATCGATTTTTGGTCTGAACAGGTCAGAGCTCGTCGTCATAGAATTTATTTACCAATCGATCCTTTAACGTGATTAGTTTGTCAATAATTTTTGATCTTTTTTCACGTTTCTAAATAAATAATAGGAAATATTTATTAATAAGAAAAGGTAATATCAAACAAAATAATTTAATATTTACATCACTTTATCAAGAATTTGCGTGCCGCCTTTTTTATCATTTTCTACCCAATTTGCACCACGTCTTGCATTAAGAAGTTCCTCCCATTGATGCCGATGACATTCATGAATGACATGTTTAATGACGCCATCAGTCACCAGGAAGAATTTCTTATTAATTGATTTTTGAACAACCGGAATGATATTATTCACTTTTTTTCGTTGACTTTCAAAGGTTTTTTTTATATTTAGACTTTTATCATCTGAAAGTCGGTCCATTATTCTGACTATTTCACCCTAATCGTGAGATTATCATAATTGATTAGCAACAATTTGAATAATTAAAACGAATTAAAATAAAATATGGTTCATAATTGATTAGCAGCAATTCAGATAATTAAAATGAATTAAAATAAAATACGGTACTCTTAAAGTATTCCTTTGATCCCTATTCATTTCTTCATAATGAAGAAACGATAATAAATTTGAGAATAGCGCTGAATTTGAGGATGGTGCCGATTTTGAGGATGGTGAGGATGAAGTTGATGAAGATGAAGAGGAAGAGGATGGGATGGGGATGGAGATAGTCTGCTTTGCACGCTTTTTGATGATCCCAGTATACCGTATTTTTGCACATATTTAGGCTTATTCAATGACCTGGTCATGTACTGGTTCTTTCAGCTCTTTGGACCTTGAGTTTCCAGATCCACGTTGGACCAGTCAATAATATTTTCTTTTGGATCAGTTACCTTCTGCTTTCCTTTTGTAACAGTCTTAAGCAGGCGAGTCAACTCCTCAACCTGCATCTGTAAAGCTACAAAAGGAAATCAGGTTAAAACTAAATCGATTTGTGATAGTTTTTCATATAACTACATACCGGATTCATTGGAATCATTATTTCTCTCATTCTGTTGAGTCGATTGGTCATTATTTCT